AGTTTTGAAGCGTTATTGAGATGATCTTTCATTTTTCTAGATACTTGGACGCTTGCAGATTGGAATGGAGATCTCTAGAAAAGTAGGGTAGTCGAAGGGGGTGTAGCTTAGAGGTAGAGCGTACGCTTCGCATGCGAAAAGTCCAGGGTTCAAATCCCCGCTCCTATAACTTGAGTTTTGAAGCGTTATTAAGAGGATCTTTCATTTTTCTAGATACTTCGTAGCTTGCAGAATGGAATGGAGATCTCTAGAAAAGAAGGGTTCTCGACGCGGGTGTAGCTTAGGGTTAGAGCTTTCGCTTCCATGCTAAAACTCAAAGGGGTTCAAATCCCCGCTCCCCTAACTTGAGTTTTGAAGCGTTATTGAGATGATCTTTCATTTTTCTAGATACTTGGACGCTTGCAGATTCGAATGGAGATCTCTGGAAAAGTAGGGTTATCGAAGGGGGTGTAGCTTAGAAATAGAGCGTTCGCTTCGCATGCGAAAACTCAGGAGTTCGAATCCCCGCTCCCGTAACTTGATTTTTGAAGCGTTATTGAGAGAATCTTTCATTTTTCTAGATACTTCGACGCTGGCAGAATGGAATGGATATCTCTAGAAAAAAAGGGTTGTCGAAGAGGCTGTAGCTTAGAAATAGAGCGTTCGCTTCGCATGCTAAATGTCCGGGGTTCAAATCCCGCACCTTCAACTTGTGTTATTCAGAGCATCCTTCCTTTTTCTAGGTACTTGGACGCTTGCAGAATGGAATGGAGAGCTCTAGAAAAGTAGGTTACTCGACGGGGGTGTAGCTCAATGGTAGAGCGTTCCCTTCGCATGCGAAATATCTGGGGTTCAAATCCCCGCACCTCCAACTTGTGTTATTCAGAGGATCCTTCATTTTTCCAGATACTTGGACACTTGTAGAATGGAATGGAGATCTCTACAAAAGTAGGTTTCTCGACGGGGGTTTAGCTCATTGGCAGAGCGTTCGCTTCGCATGCGAAATGTCCGGGGTTCAAACACCCGTACCTCCACAACTTGTGTTATTCAGAGGAACCTTCATATTTCCAGGTACTTGGACGTTTGCAGAATGGAATGGAAATCTCTAGAAAAGTAGGTTTCTCGACGAGGGTGTAACTCAGTGGTAGAACGTTCGCTTCGCATGCGAAATGTTCGGGGTTCATATTCCAGCTTCTCCAACTTTTGTTATTAAGAGGATTCTTCATATTTCCAGATACTTGGACGCTTGCAGAATGGAATGGAGATCTCTAGAAAAGTAGGTTTCTCGACGGGATTGTAGCTCAGTGGTAGAGCGTTCGCTTCGCATGCGAAATGTCCGGAATTCAAATCCCCGCACACTCTAACTTGTGTTATTCAGAGGATCCTTCATTTTTCTAGATACTTGAACGCTTGCAGAATGGAATAGGAGATGTCTAGGAAAGTAGGTTTCTCGACGGGGTATAGCTCAGTGGTAGAGCTTTCGTTTCGCATGCGAAATATGCGTGGTTCAAATCCCCGCACCTCCAACTTGTGTTATTGAGAGGATCTTTCATTTTTCTAGATACATGGACGCTTGCAGAATGGAATGGAGATCTCTAGAAAAATAGGGTTCCCGACGCGGGTGTAGCTTAGAGTTAGAGCTTTCGCTTCGCATGCTAAAACTCAGGGGTTCAAATCCCCGCTCCCCTAACTGGAGTTTAGAAGCGTTCTTGAGAGGATCTTTCATTTTTCTAGATCCTTGGACGCTTGCAAAATGGAATGGATATCTCTGGAAAAGTAGGGTTCCTGACGCGGGTGTAGCATAGAGTTAAAGCTTTCGCTTCGCATGCTAAAACTCAGGGGTTCAAATCCCCGTTCCCCTAACTTGAGTTTTGAAGTTATTGAGAGGATCTTTCATTTTTCTAGATACGATGACGCTGGCAGAATGGAATGGAGATCTCTAGAAAAGTAGGGTTGTAGAAGGGCGTGTAGCTTAGGGTTAGTGCTTTCACTTCGCATGCTAAAACTCAAAGGGGTTCAAATCCCCGCTCCCCTAACTTGAGTTTTGAAACATTATTGAGAGGATCTTTCATTTTTCTAGATACTTGGACGCTTGCAAAATGGAATAGAGATCTCTAGAAAAGTAGGGTTGTAGAAGAGGGTGTAGCTTAGGGTTAGAGCTTTCGCTTCGCATGCTAATTCTCAGGGGTTCGAATCCTCGCTCCCGTAACTTGAGTTTTGAAGCGTTATTGAGAGGATCTTTCATTTTTCTAGATACTATGACGCTGGCAGAATGGAATGGAGATCTCTAGAAAAGTAGGGTTCTCGACGCGGGTGTAGCTTAGGGTTAGAGCGATTTCGCTTCGCATGCTAAAACTCCAGGGGTTCAAATCCCCGCTACCCCTAACTTGAGTTTTGAAGCGTTATTGAGAGGATCTTTCATTTTTCTAGATACATCTGACGCTTGCAGAATGGA